GGGCCTCTATTCATAAAAAAGAAAAATATTTGGCAGCCGATAGGAAAGCTTAAGCAGGAATAGCAATCAGAGGATAAGTTATTTGAAATAACTACCATTAACACAGTACTTCAATTCTGTCGCGGATTCAATCCCAGAGATGTGGTAGGTCTGTGGTGTTCCCCCTTGGGGCACTCTTGATCTAAGCTTTTGACTTACTATAATTCACTGAACAGACAGGAAAATGAAATTTCAAAACGTATTGCTGCAGAAAAAATAAACATGTTCAGCTGAGCAACTTAGCGTTCTTTTCCTTTTGTTTTGTTTTACTCATAAAAATAATAACGATGATGGTGGTAATGATAATGATAATAATAATGATAATAATAATAATAATGTTAATCATGATGAAAATACTACTACTACTACTACTACTAGTAATAATAATAATAATAATAATAATAACGATAATAATAACAAAAATAACAAAAATTCAACATCTAAGGCTTGATTTTGTTTTAAGATCCTTCCATGGAGTTGTTTTTGAAGTTTGTACAACTCCAAGCTAGTTAAGATCTGGGATTACTGTCAATTCTTCCACTGTCGAATCCTGGTTACGCTTTACGCACCATGTGGCTTCATTTCTAAGCATTAAACACTGAGATCATACGCAAAATTCTGGTAGAGGATTCATGGAACATGCTTTTGTATGGTTCATAGTATTGAAGGAACAGGCTTGCATATCTTGTGAATACTGCAGGTTCTTTAGAGCTCGACCTGACATCGCTACCCAAACCGGCGACTGCTGCCCGCTCTTGTAAGCTACCAAGTGACTCTGAACCAGCACCCAAACTGGACTTGTTTAAGCAAAAACGTTGCTATGGCTGGTGGGCTACAAGCTCTATGAAGTCGGGAGCAATGAAAAGCACGGTACGCTGTGGCTGTTTACTAACTTGTAGACTTGTTCCAATACACGTTGATTGCTTAAGATAGGCTCTGCAATGCCACGGTGTAAGATGGCCCTAGTCTCACTTCCAGTGAATGACAAGGCCACTTGCATTACCAATTTGTCTTCCTTTATAATTCTTATTAAGTCCCTGTTATGATCCGAACGGTAGAACAAAAAGAAACACCTGCACTTTTCTGATGCTTCATTTTTGTGCTTCGCCGCCCCGTAGAAAAAGTCGACTAGCTGTTCACTTAGTCACAATCCGAAAGAGAAGTGATAATTTATTCTTTCTTTGCTATGATCTTCCAGGGCAAACTTGAAATGACTTTGGAAATAATGAAAAGGCCAGAAGCCGAGGCTAAACCAGCAGGACTGGGGCGAGACGAACCGAACAAGAATCCAACTTTAGACGAACCGAAGTAGGTTCCAATCCGTGATTAATCAAGGACCCAAGGTTTTCCTTTTCGTGAAATGTTGACTCACACATATCGTACTACCAAACTTAATGTTAAGGTACAACAATTTAGGAACACTCACGCTGCGCGCCTGAGCTGCGACAGATCACTTTCGAAAACAAAATTCCTAAGAATGTTTCGTTCCTCCACAGTCGTCCTCCGACCTCGTTTCCATGGTTTACGTCACCACTTAAAGCTCTCCGCCACATCATCTGGCGCAGGTACAAGTGGTACATCCTCGGCTTACTGTTATTCCTTCTTATCATCTCCCTCATCGCGTTCTTCATTTACGCAGCGCCGGTAAGTGTCACGTGCCAAGTCTTTCAGTCTCCTTGTCTCTTAATAATTTAACATCTTTGATAACAATCCCCTCTAGTTCCAGTCCCAACAATTTTGAGGATTCTCCCCCTGCATATCCCCTCTCATTAACCCTTCAGACCCAAACGTCAGTATACAATATGGCATATATACGTCCCAAGAATTTGTTTCACTTAGTGATCATTTCCTTGTATCTCGTGACCTGAATGTGTGATTCTGCAGTGATATTGTAAGGAGAAATTAAATGCTAGTCATTCTTGAGAGTTAATAAAGTCTATTTTGAGCTGAGTGGGTTTGCGCGATCTCTAAATAAGGTACCATTACGCGAGCCAGACGTTATTTTTTAAACACTAGGAAAATCGCAAATTTTCCAATATTTATCTACAGGCCCATTCGGTGGAAATTCTACTTCTCCACAAAATTGAACTAAGCGTACGCCTGTGAGACGTTTAACACGATTATATTAGATGTGTCAATCATTATGACGAAGAAGCTCCTCAAAAGCTAAGGTGTCCCCCCTCTGTCACCATGTTATGTTACAGAAGGCATCTAGACGTTGTAAAACAAAACTAACACAAACATGTTTCACCTTTTAGGAATATACCATGAAGAAAATGCTAAATGCGTGACAGACTGGAAGTTTAGATGGTTAATTCTTTGGAATTAAAGGTGGAAGGGATCGAGGTTGGCCCTGCATCTGCATGGCTTTATATTGGCAACAATCAGGAAGGGATCGTGCGGAGAAAAGGAAAGCTTTTGTCACTAGTCAGCTTATAAAGTTGTCCAGCCACGGAGTTCTGAGCAAGATTTCACGCTAAATAATACAGATTAGGTCTAGAATTTTTTTAAACTTTAGTAACCAGCCACAAGAGGTGATGGTGTCCGTTTTGGAGAATCTAGTTCAAGAATAGACTGTGCATTTTTTTCAGATTTAATCCAATAGTGTCTTGAGGTTACTCTTCCAAAACTGGCAAAGCAGATAGCAAAAGTGTTCAGTTTTCAATTTATTAGTTCAATCAAATTATAGAGCAACATGTTTCCAATAATTCTGACTAACAGAGTGGGAGATGGGGAAATCAGTTTGCGGCTTCCTTTGTTCTTAGCAGTTTTTCGCTGGGTCCTTTATGTTGTGTTCCTTACGCAACGCTAACATGTTATTACCGTTACCATTTTCGTTCATACAACAACCTGACACCTACCACAAAGTAGTGGGAGCCTCCATTTTGCTTCACTAAGCAAGATTAAGAAGTTCTTTTTTCACTAAGCTTGACGAATTAAAATCATAAATAAATGGGGAGTTTGGGAACATTTCTAGGATAGTTCCTCAGCTGCAAAGAAAATAAATTGGATATTCCTCAATTGTCTCATACTCAATGATTCACCCATTCACCTAACCCACCCCTATCAAACAATCGACGGCTTATGGCGTTTGCATGACAGTTACGTCATCTTTTCCCTTTCTTTTGCTTGACGTTTGCTGCTCCGCGTTTGGTGGCTCGTACCAGGCCCTTAAACTGGCCGGTCATTTTCTTTTGTTTCCTGTGACAAAGATAAAGCAATTGACATATTAACGACAAAAGTCTCGGATAATACGCTATCGGATGACAAAGTGGTTGTCACTTTCAAAGTAACAAGGAAGATTGTGATACCTCAAGTGAAACATCCAGGGTAAAGCAGGGAGTCGCAACAGGAAGATGCAGCATTCACCTATCACCATGTTTAATGATGCCGCAAAACATTTCCTATTTCTTACTAGTACAGGTATTGGGTCCCTTAACGTTTGACAACAGTTTTTACATAGACGCAAAAGGAGTATTGTTTTGTTGAAGAGATGTCAAATACTATTGCAAGATCAAATTGAGAGGTACAATGGTTTAACTTGCGTTGTACAGATCATATTTGGCAAAATAGGGACGAGACTTGTAGACTCGCCAAAAATAAACCCTGCGGCCTTGTAGTGATTTGCGACAGCTGGAATCGATCAATGATAGAGAGGCAAGAAGGGAGAGAGAGCGGGAAATTTTAGAATCCCACAGCCCCTATGCAATCAAAGAATTTTTAATTTGAGGCGGGTCAGCACTTACCTCTTGTTGAGCATATTCAATTGGAGAGGCACATAGGCGAATGGATCCGGTTTTCCTTTCTTCTTCACGTCACCGCCAGCTTTCTATCGAGTTAATGAAGAGTTTCTTAAGAAAAGAGAAGTGCAGTCCTGGTTACTCTAGAACATAATTCATTGCACGAATAGTTTCGTTAAAACCCCAAAGGATGAGTAGTCTACATCGCACCCGTTTTCTGGTCTCGTAACGTAGCAGATCCTGTCCTCACAAAGCGGTCAAGGATCCTCAACTAAAAAGTCGACATAACGTCAAGTTTCTGCTAGTAAGAGAGATTTTCAAAATGGCGATCAAAGTAAAAGATTCAACATTACAAAGAATAGTAAACTGTACCAAATTTTTCCTTTAATTCGTTTGTATATCTGTCGCTGAATGAGAAAGAATTTTAACTTTGCGAAAACTGAAAGACCTCAGGTGGAAGAATTGAGCCTTGAACTAAGGAAGAATTCGACAACACAATCGATGAGGTGATGACTTGATAATTTAATCAACCATCAGCCAATCGAACTGTTAGTCATTCGATCCATCCATCAATCAATCAATCAATCAATAATGTAATAGATCGATGGATCAATCAGTAAGTCAATGAGTAAATCAGTCGGTCACTCAATTAGTCACTCAATTCAGTAGTCAATGTTGGTCGGTAAGTCGATCAGTTAAGCAAGCAGGCGGCTAATGAGACAGTCAAAACTCATACCTTCGCTTTGTACTCAGCTCCAAACGCCTTATCACCTTTTCCACGTCTCGAAGGCACTTCTGCAAGGTAAATTCAAGGTCGTTAATTCCAATTCGTAACACTAAAGCAGATGACAGCGTAACAAAACAAACCTTCGACAAGCGCATCATTTTCATTATCACCATCAAAAGATTTCCGCTTCTTTTTCCCTTGAAATGGATCCTGATAGAAATGTGGAAAAATATAAGATGAATTAATCTTGAAGTACTGACAACTCTTCATAGAAAAAAAGACAACATCGCCAGGATGTTGCATTTTTGTTTTGAACAGAACTGCGTTAAGAGACGTACAAACGTTTTGTACGTCTTTCAACACAGTTCTGTAAAACGTGTAGCAAAAGCCCAAGTATTGAAACATTCGCTACACAACTTCAGGTATTAAACTAAAAGTAATCCTTTTGATACAAACTCTTGTCATAGAAAATGGTTGTTTATCTTAACCCTAGCCAAGTTATCCTTTCGAATCATGAGTGGATTTTCTTGCAGGTGGCCGCTTAAATGAAATCGTACATTGAAGTCACAAAATATGAAATGAAATGAAAAAGAGAGCCACTGAGGTTGCAGCCATAAACTACTTTCTCGGCCTTATTAGGTTTTATCAGTGAAGCATGGCTCATTTATGGCTCACTTTTTATTTCTTTATGTTGTTTTACTTTTTCTTCGGGGGTGGAGGCTGCGGCTGCGACCGGGATAAAAGACATTAACACCATTAACCCCGTGGTGCGCATTGCGTATGTTTTCATCATTTCTAATCATAGCCTCAGTCCACAGGTGTATCAGCAATGCAACACGGCTTACCTCTTCCATGTCTTCCACAGAGTCCTCCAGACCTGCCAAAAATGATTACATAATCTCAGTTACAAATAAGCACATCCATGGATAACAAGCTGCCGAAGGGCAGTTGATATGGGCGGTCTTACAAATCAACACCAACAGTATACTTCCAAAAGTCGTCTCACAGGACATGTACCTGGTTTTCTCTTACGCTTGGATCCAGGCTCGTGTTGTTCCTCCTCGTCCTCGTTATCTTGGATGATCAATTTTCCATCGGAAGAAACCTGGAAAGCATCTGTTGCTTTACGTTTGGTAGGTTTTTTCGGATCCGTTGCTTGGGACAAACGAAAATATGAAGTCAGTGGAGTGTTTAATTCATTCGTCTTGATGGATTCTGACGTTCTCTCGTATAACATTTTTGAGATGCAGTGTTGACAAAGAGGTGTCTCCAGATGAAGCAATGTCAACCATACATTATCAAGTTCAATTTTCTACAAGAAAAAATCTCAGACGAAAACTTCCTCCAACTGTTGCTACGGCAGTATCGTTCGCTATGAATTCCCAATGAGTGTTTTTTTCCTTTCTTTTTTCACAAAAAGTCATAATCATGCATAGTGCAAAAAAAATCTCTGCCATCCTACGAATTAATCGGAATCAACCTAACAGATCAACTTATTCTGGAAAGATATTTCCTCCGTAAATGCGTAGATTTTCACCTCTTAAATTTCGTCGCTTGCATCATCGTTGTTAACTAAGTAATTTTAAACCGCTATTAATTATTATCATTTTTCGCTTAATTTTAGCAGGCAATATACCTCACACAGCTAAAATTTTATTTGAGCGCAAAAACGTATCTAAGCATCCCGGATAATAAGATATGGCCTACCTACGACCCTCTGCACCACTCCCGGGTCAAGAAAATCCACAGGCTCCTCTTCAGTTCCCTCTCGAATCCAGGCTTTCGGACCTTTCACACGATTAACGGCTTGACCTGCTTTGGCAGCCTGCAAGTCGATCAGAAAGTTTCAAAATTCTGTTGATTACAATTTCCATGGCATTGCTCCATGCTCAACAGAAATATATAATAACGTCTTTCTTAAGTCACGTCGCAGCAAGCATCAGACACTCATCACTAGTACGACATCCTTGACATCAATTTAAAACAAATGTGGAGACAACGTTGAATAATATTTGGTGACAGAGGGTGTGATACCTGTTTCTTTTTCTTCATACCAGGTCTCTCATCTTCTTCATCTTCTCCAAACATAAGATCTTCGTAACTAAAAAGAAACGTTGTACTGATGTGAACCCTAAATGGGTGGCACGAAACAGCAAACTTGATCGCATAGTGCGATTCACGATCGTAACTGCTGCTCAAGTCTATGAAAAGTCAGCCTATACAACAGACAACAGTCGCTTTTGAGACTTTCCTCACCATAACAATCACACTAAATGCTTTTCCTGAATACAAACTATCACTGTATAGTGTAATGTTAAATGAACTACGGAGACACTTCTGATCACAGGACACCCTCGATACCAGAAAAGTGTCCCTTTAAAGAACTTTTCCTTAAAAGCAGCGATTAGATACAAAGGATAGATGAACTCCTTTTCAGCATGGACAAGTTTGAATATGCCCCTTGAGCGGAGGTGCTACTGGAACAGAGTTGTCTCAACTCAGAGGGCCCACGAGAAATTCCACCCTCATTTATCAGGGAGAAAAAAAAAAGTTACAATAAAATATAATTAATAAAACGTTTCTTTCGTTTTACCCAGCACTTAGAGTCTTCCTTAATAAACAGGTAATACTAGTACTATCGGTTAAACAAAGTTGGATGAATGACAACTGATAACAACCCAAAGGCAAACCCTGAGTGTGGTGGGAATTAGAGTGCTACGGCGATGTTTATTGAAGCTCATTTGAGACCTGCTCCTCCAGTCCACTATATAAAAAACCAACCTTTCAAGTTGTGGTGATTCTTGATGGAATCCTTCAGTGTCTTCTTGCTGGAGGATGGAATAAAGTGAAATTATTTCACAAACAATACTCAAAGCCGGAAATGAAGGTAGCCAATAACGGCTTACGTAACATTTTACAAATGCATTGAGTCTACAATGTGTCATCGCCATAAAAACTTTAGTGCGAAGAACATCGAACAACTCCAGGTAAGAAAACTTTAATTCAGAATTCCTGATGCTACGTTGCTCTTTTCCTTCTAAATTGAAGGTAGCATGATACACACGCATACAAAACTGTGATATTACCAGATAGCACGATTTATAATGGTAATATGACCGGGTGGGGTCCAATCACACAAGTGATTGGCAATGTCAGACGACCGCATAGCAGGATAATACACATGATGATGATGATGATGATGATGATGATGATGATGATGATGACTTTATTTAAACTCGGACGAAAATGAGGCTTGTTAGGCCACATAATTGGACGACCTAAAGTCCTGTAGCCTATTAGTCAAAACTATAACAAAACTTGAACAACCAACTTCAAACAACACTCACAGACTTTCTGTCTCTCCTTGCCGCCATTTTCTGCCTCTTTAGTCTTTGAGTTGTCTTATGAGTGTTGTGAACTAATTTTTGATGTTCTTCGGGGGTACACTTGTATATAGTTTGGTATCTAAAGAACAAATGAATCACAATAAAAGCCGACATGCAACATTGATAAAATTTTGAAAATAATTTTATATCTAAATATTACCTGA